CCTCCAAGTAATGAGGGTCCCTCCCCGCGCTCTGCACACATTTAATTGTTGAGTTATGCTTCCTGTTCCTTCTCAATGCTAATGCTTTCTCTGAAAATCTCTCCCAGTGTTTCCAGAAGAACTTTTGACCCCAAGAGTGTTTTTAAACTTATGGCATTGTTATCCTCTTCCTTATTATGCTTGCATGGCTACAGGTAATTACATATGGATTCCCTGGTACGACAGAAAGGCTCACGACAGAAAATAACTAAGCAGTCCTATGGCTCAGATAAAATATAAAAATGGGAGGGAGGGGGTAATAAACTCATGAATTTCTGCATATTCACAGAACAGGTTTATTTATCCACTTTCAGCTGCATGCCTTGCAAAAAACACAAGTAGGATCTGGCAGGGATAAGGAAACCCAGTTCCTGCAAGAAACCTTTAACCAGGGGCATCCTGTTTCTGCTACTTGTAGGAGGATCAAGAACTTGGCGGGTCATGGCCATCTCCGCATGCAACGTGCCCACAGCTCCTGTGAAGGTACACATCAAGCACTTCAGGTCAACACAAAATGATTAAACACAAGCAAAAGGGTTTTGCTGTCCCACAACAGAGGGTCAGACAGCCAGGGATGCTGCTACTGGTTGTCTCCCCAGGGCTCGCCTGCATGGTCAGCTTGGGCACGGGGTGCCAAATTGCCTCCCTTCCCAGCTCCCCCCCAGGAGGCAGGGATAGTGATGGCCTCCTTTCCCAAATAAGAAATTCCCCTTTTGTATAATTCTATTCTGCATGGAACAGACCTGGCTCAGGGTCCTGCCTCCAGCATCACGAGCAGCAGATACCCGAGGGAGAGCACAAGATTAAGCAAAGTATAGAGGAACGGTCCCCAGGCTTTCCTCCCTGCCTCCAGCAACTACAGATCCAAACCTACCGAGGCAGACACCCTCTTCTTATATTTAGTAACTTTTCGGAATTTCAGCCCATTAATATGAAGCTGGTCACTGAAGCTGAACACTTCAAAGATAAAGTACTCAGATCACCACGTATTGAACAACATAGCACCAGCAGAAACAAAGGCAAAAAACTTTGAAGCAACTAAGAATGGTACATGTCTCTGTCTGGGGAACCCAAATGCCCCAAATTCATCAGACACTTTGCAAATTCTTGGCAGACCTGCTTTCTCTTTAGAGTTCATTTCCCAGGTTGCTCCGACAGTCAGCAATACAGTGACAGATTCAATTTAAAGCAACAGAAATACTAGGAAAAGTGAATTAGAATTAAAAATAAATTGTCAAAGGCAAATCCTATCATATCATCCTACTTCACTTGGACATAAATAATGACATTTTAAAATAGCAATGTCAACTGCACACGGCAAAATATGGATTTGGGGGGGGGGAGTTTAAAATCCCCAAAGTGCCTCAGGACAATTTAACACAACGTGACTCTGTGGCCTGGTATTTCGTATCTGAAGTTAAGGAACATTTTGGCCAAACTAGCTCTAAAAGAAATGCACTTTAAGGAAATTAATGTAATCCTTTTTCTGCCTGGCGGCACAAGTTTTATTAAAGTTAGAACTTTAAGGGATGTTTCATGTTAAACAGGGCTTTACGTAAGGAGACCATGTAAAAACAGAGCTCCAATTAAATTGTATTATGAAATTTGTATTAATGAAACACAACAAGGGGACTTTCAAGTAAGACTTACAAGTGATATTTCTGTTAAATTACAGTTTTCAAGTGTCACTAAACTCTTCTGCTGTGTCCTGGGGAAGCTGATTAGCTCAGATTATATTTCCCTGGCTGGAAACGCTGGAGCAGAACTTAAGAGTTTTAAAGAACTTGCTCACAGGGAAAACTTTTAAAATCCAGCCCCTAGAAAAGACACTTTTTTTTTTTTTTTTAATTTTTCACAGAATCGTAGAGTAAGCCAGGCTGGAAGGGACTTTTGGGGGTCCCTGGTCCAGCCCTCATCTCAAAGCAGAGACAACGTTCCTCAGGGGCTGGTCCAGCTGAGTTCTAAATAAATATAAGGATGAAGATCTGAATATATACCTTAGTTCCAAGTGATTGTTTTTTCTGCCTGCTTCAGCCTTTAAGCAATCAGGTGCTAAGGCATTAACAGCAAGTCCATCAGGTCTATAAATTATGGTTCTGAATACTCAGCACTGAACTATATTCACAGTGAGGTTCATGAAAGAAGACCTTAGACAACCCTAAGAGCTCCTGCAAGTTTTGTAGTATCTTCTACACTTGCTCAAGAATTACATATACACTGTGCTGGTCAGAAAAGGGACAGTGAAGCCTTAGTTGATGATAAATCACTCTGAATTACTTGTTGTTACCTCACCACGCAGCACCTGATAGCATCCCTTTAAGTCTCTACAAAGCCCTGCACAGTAAACAAGAAAATTCATTAATCTCTTGCCAGAGGTAAGAAACTGGTGGTGAGAAAGGTAACTCCTGGCCAGAGCTGGGTTGAGAATCGGTTTTAAATCTACGAGGTCTGACGCTTAAACTAAGACCACAGTCTCAGTTACCTGGTCCAGATCTTGAGTGTCACCCACCCTGGAAGTCTAAAACAATTACATTTGCCCTTATTAAAAATGGTCCAGCTTAGTTCCTGCTTTAATCATCAGTCACATCGTCATCCCTTATCTACAGTATAAATATAATGGAAAATATATGAAAGAGAAGACACGTGAGTATCATCAAGAGAGTGGGAACAGTAAAGAACAGTAAGTTCCAAAGCAATTTTGCAATAATCTATATGACTATACATATACATTTAAAAAAAAAAAATCATGTGATGCTTCATGTTCATACTGACCTTGAAATCAGCTTCTCAGCTTTGCTATGAAAAATCCCCCCCAATCTCACCAAGTGGAAAAAAGCCATGTGTGTAGTTTATCTTTTCCATACATTTACCTTCCTACGTCCTGCCTGATGGCACGCAGGATTTGCACAGGCCAGCTCAGGCTGCCATGATCTGATGAGGACAGATTAGGCTGCGGGTAGAGCTGAGGGATCTACACTGTACAGACTGCCCACCCCAGGCTGCAGAGAGTCCCGTCTGCACTCCTGAGGCTGAGACAGCAATTACAAGGGGAATGCAAAGACATCCTCTGTTTTGGATTAGAAGAGGGAAGATTTCATGTGCTGCTCAAGCAAAAAAAGAAGAGGTCCTGAGAGTCACCAATAACTTATTACATCCCTCTGAATTACATCCCCTCCAACAACAAAAAAAAATTAATAGAAACAGAGAAAAGAAGAAAAAATAATTTTGCTGCTATTCTTCTAATTTCCCTTCCATCCCCCAGCGATGCATTATGAAAGCACAGAGCTGTTGCCATCAGGGACGAGAGTGCCAGATAGGCAGGCAAATCAAACTGGCTCTGAATTAGGCTACCACCACTGCCAGCTTGCAGCGGCACTGGGACGGACACTGGGGCAGGGTCCGAACTCAGGTCCACGCTGAAGGGCTTTGGGCAGGCTCGTGCAGCTGGGTCTTCACGGTGGCATGCACCTCAGCTACCTGGAGCTTCCCCTAGCATGATGTTAATCTGGAAAGGAAACACCCGATAAAAAAAGCCATCACTGAAAACCAGGCAGAGCCTTGCTGGAAAGTCAGGAGGAAACCAAGCGACAAATAACTCCTAGCGTGTGCCAAAAGAGTCATTGGAACGCCGGGGAGCTGCATCCTGAAGCCACACATAATTAAGTTCTGACAAAATTGATTTTTATGTTTAAGCATTGCTGAGCCACAGCCTTATGAAAAATTACCAGAATGTGAAACATGACATACAGAAGAATTTAAAGTATTTTGACAGCCAAAAGGACACTTAGGTGCCCTCTCAAGTTAGCATACAAACACTACACCGTCATCAGCACGCTAAGCATCCCTGATTTATTTGTTTTTCCCCTCCTCCCCCCAAAAAAGGACCCTGACACTCAGAAGAGAAGACAGCGCAGAAATAACAAAACTTGTCACAGTAAAGAGATGCGTGAGAGTAAGGCCTGTCATAAGCATAGACTCAAAGAAAGTCAGGGATAACAGGCAGGTATGAAGTGAACAACCAGCCTCAGCTAGACTACAGCGTGAGACTTGTCCCAGGGAGTGGTCTTTTGCTTAGAAAAGGGAAAGTGTAAGAATACAAAACCAAAACAAATCACCAGACCAGTATCACGTCTGAGCCATCCAAAGGTTTAAGAGATTTATTATAATTGCCGCAGAAAAGAGAGGGAAAAAAAGATGAGAAAATAAAAAGAAGAGAAAAGCTTCAAGTGAATCCACCTGCCTTCCCTTGCTGGAAAACCAGCCTGCAAGCTCTTTAGAGTAGCAAACATCATTTTATTCTTTGTCTGTACAATACAACAGAGGCCCAGAACACAGACGAAGTTTCAGAGAGCTGCTACATTACAAATAAATAACAATAATCCACTTAATCTCTGCTTAATGCAGCCCTGAAGGGAATGCAAGTGAGATTATCAACCAGCAGCATTTATTCAGCAGAACTTCAGTTACGGTTCACAGACAGAAATTCATATCCCTCCCCCCAAAAGTGCCTGTTGGCTTCAACAGAGCAAATAAAAACTTGGAGACTTGGATCATAAACTGTTAAAGAAGTTTAGTTACAAAAGGAGGGGAAAGAAGAGTGTGTTACTGCGTAAGCACTGCGAGAGACTTTGCATCAGATCCAACAAAAGCAAAGTGGAAGTGGGTGGAAAACAATCCAACAGCAGAGAGAGAAAAAAACCATGATTGCCACATAGCTTGGAGGACACGAGAGCTCCTGCTCCCTGTGCTGCTGCTTTGCTGCAGCGCAGTAGCGGAGATGGCAGATGCTGTGGTAGATGCCAGCCCCATTTCAGCTTGTCACCCACGTCCCATGCAAAGAAGGGCTGGGTGGGATTGCCCCGTCCCAAGGACCTGCTCCGTGTCAGGCTGTAGGAGAACGTGACAGATGCAAACGGGCGTCAAGGGAGAGAGTAAAAACGTCACACCAAAGCCACACTTACAGCGACCAGTTTTTCAGGAGACACATTCACTCCTTTCACATCTTCTTCTTCTGGCTCTTCATTTTCCTTATTGTCAGTGCAAGAGACAGAGTCTTGGACTGAGCAAGTGCTAAGCAAGTCTGGCAAACTGGTAGATGGGTACTTCAGAAAATCCCCTTCAGCAGATTCCTACTCGAGAGACAACAAAATATGTTACATCACATGCAGAAACCCACCAAAGTCATGGTGAAACTGCTCCATTTCACCTGCCCAGTGAGAGCTCCCTGGTAATCCTCCCCTCGTTACACGCTTCCATGTGCTTAAACTTTAATGGTCCAGTTATAAAAAGCAGACCTGGTTTTAAAGTGTATATATAGTAAACACAGGCCAATACACGTCTAAAACATTTAGATTTCATAAAGGAGAATTTAAAATAAACGCTTCTCCAGCAGCCTGCTCCTCCCCACTTTGGGTTTATTAAATGTCACTGTGAGCAGACTCTGAGTTTACAGACCTCATTATTCATTTCATTGCATCCCAAATCACACTCTGTGCTCCAGCTCCCTCCCTGCGGATGTTCCCTTCACACGTTTATCTATCTACAGGCATAAGAATAACACACCAACAACCCACTTAGGAGAACAAAATGAAAACTGACCCAGCAATCCTCTACCAACTCAGTCCTGATATGCTTCAGGATCTGTTTCCAGTCTTTGGCACCTTTTCCGGGAGGCAAACACGTGCATCAGCCGAAAGCGGTGGCCAGACAGAGTCTCATTTTATTGCTTTCAGAACAAATCCTGCATTCAAGAGCGCCCACCAGGCCAAACTGCAAGGCTGCTTTCCCATACCAACAAATAACGCCCAGAGGGAGCTGCTGGGGAACACTTCACCCGTTTACACCTTTTCTGAGACTGCCTGAAACACGGCACAGGCTGGATTCCCCACTGCTTGCCTTTCCAAGTCCTCCTCCCAGGGACATGAAAACTGTCCAAGTGCACAGAGCACAGGCCAGGCAGATTCACAGCCTGATCAGGAACGTGAAGTTTTATGCTGTAAGCTTATTTGCGATGATTATTTTGATGCAGTCATCACATGAACAGGCAAATAATTAAGGAGAAATTTATGCAGTCTACCACCTTGCGTTTTGGCAGAGAGTCCAATTGTCTAAAGGAAATACAAAATGTACCTACTTCAGGTCAAAGTGTGTTGTTTCCAGAATAAACACCAGTGGGGTTAATACCAGGCTGTGACCCTACAGAAAGTCTTCAGTGAACTTCACTGTCTAACTGAAACGTTAGAGAAGTTATAGGCTCTTCACTTTGCGGTGGGATAGAGCCTCTTCTTGAAAAACATGAGCATAAAGCATCCCGGGAAGCTGTAAGAGCATCCAGACATTAAACCTGCAGAAACCTGCATCAGGTTGGCTGGGGCAACCTGAAGATGAAGCTACGCAAAACTTTAAAAATACCGATAGTGGCCTGCTGACACAGCACGCTCCACCAGGAAAAGCAGGTTTACGAGCGGTCCCTTTGGTCCAAGATGTTCCTGCCACCACCCCAAAGGCCCTGATGGCCCCACCTGCAGGCAGGTCCTTCTTTGAGACCCCAGGTGCTTTTGGGAGCCAGTTGGCCACCCACCAAACGCCTGCATTAACCCAAGCAGGGGAGCAGCAGGCTGTGGTGTGGGGAGGAAAGCAAACTGGGGTGGGCAGGATTTTCTTAAACAAAGAAAAAATTATTGTGTAATATCCCTCAATCTCCTGCAATGAAAGCAGAACGAAGAGCCCGACTGATGAGTTCTACTCTCATTTCCCTGAAATTTCATGCTCCTTTATCTGCAAGAGCTCCACTCCACGCTATTAACAAGGACCAAATAGGGAATTCAAGCCAAGAGATCATCATCAAGAGACCTCAGGCACACAGACAGGACAAGGGATGGGAGCTATGGAGGCTATGCAGGCAGGAAGCAGAAGAGGCTGAGAACATATATGCTGCTTTATTTAGCATATACTTTAAGAAAATGGTTTTGGCCAAAACTTAAGTAACGTCTGCATGAATAAATACAGACTCATTTACACACTGAATGACAGTGACAATACAAGCAAATCATTAAGTTGGTCTATACCGTGCTGATTTGCCACAGATTTATGGCAGCTACTGATATATTTCCCATAGCTGTGCATTACATTTAGGGGAGCAAATGTGCACATGTGATTCCCTATCAAAAGTATGCCCTTCCCACGCAGCACTTGTGGATGTACATTCAGGAGACCGCCAAGGAGAGGACCGTACCTTGCTAGCGACCACCAGCTGCACCAGGCCAGCAGCCGAGCGAAGGAGGGCCACAGCGTCCTGGTGGGAGAGCCCAACCAGCGACTGCCCGTTGATCATGAGGAGCTCATCCCCCGCCGTCAGCCTGCCATCCCTGCGGAAACAGAGCAGGAACGCAGAGCTGCAGGGCGGTCCTTCGCCGGTTCCGGGCTCCAGTGGCACGCGGCAGGACACGGAGGCATGGACAACACATGATCTGGCTGATGCTAAGCTTGCATCTATCAGTGCAGTGTTATTTGCCCACAAAAGTGGCTCAGAAAGGTGCCCCAAGGAAATCACTGTTACACCCAGAGCCATTTCACCCTCTTTGCAGGGCTGAGACCCCTCAAACCTTCCCTGTGCCCCACCGGAGACTGTCAGGGAGCAGCAGTGAGCCCCATCTCTCCCCCATCAGGGAGCAGGGCCAGGGCTGTCAGTGAGCATCCCAGGTTGCACGACCCATGCTCACACACTGACGATCCCATGGGAAAGGCCCATCTTCCAAAAAGGGACTTGGGGAAAAAGCCCCACAAGCCATCAGGCTCCATCACCAAGCAAGTGTTTGATCTGTCTATCGTTTGGACTAAACATGCTGGTAGAAGCTTCTGTGATCAATCACAAAAGAGAGTTTTTAAGCTAAAAATGCCATATTCTCACCCTCACACAATGGGAGGGCAAAACCCCCACACCTGTCTCATGAGCCTGGCTAACAGCAATGGCCACAGATGCTCCATCACGCCCACTCCTGTGAAGGCACCGCTGTCGCCTCACCTGTGTGCAGAGCCACCTTCCTCCACGTGGGTGACGATGATGCTGTGAGGGGACCGCTTCGACCCTCTGCCTCCTGTTATCTGGATTCCCAGCCCGTCCATCCCCTTCAGGATGTGCATCTTCCATATGCGGCAACCTTCTCGCTGAGAGAGAACGTGCAGAGAGTCCTTGAATTTGGATTTGGACACTGAGACAGGGCTGGGAGGGTACAGGAGGGAGCTATTTAGCACCTTGCTGCCCATCACCACACATCTGTATAGCTCAAGCTATACGGGTGTTTTTGCTGGGCTTTGCCATGTTAGCTGTGGTCCAAGCGAAGGAGGCAGAAAGGAGGAGGCAGCACAGAGCAGGGTCAGCACGTAGAGGTTTTCCTGCAGGGCTGTTTGCAGCTTTTCTGAGCCACGCAGAGGTGCTGCTCTCAATGCCCTGATCCTTCCCAAAGCACCCAGCAGCCTCAAACCCCTTCGCCAAAAGTCAAGGATGAGCTGTGCAGGGCTGCAGAGGAGCAAGACGTTGTTCAAGGAGGACCCTGAACACCGGGAATCACAGCTGCTATTGCAGCAGGGACCAGATTGGCATCACACAGCAGCGCTTCCCTCTCCAGAAGGGTTTGCAGATTTGAGACATAGGAAAGAAAATACCAGCTTCAAATTATCATCTGCCAATCAAATATTTCTTATTGGACAGCTGTAGTACAGACTGTAAATAATAAATTTACCCACCACAGAGATCAACTTTTCAGTATAAGTAAGGTAATAAGAGATGTTTAGGACACCTTTTTTTTTTTCTTCCTTAATGATTATAAATATTTTTCCAAAAAGTGCTTTACAAACTCCAGAGCAATACGAAATGCAAAACAAAAACTAGTTCCCATGAGTCCTACCAGCAGGACTGGGCACAAGGAAATACAAGTGTGGCAGATATCAGCAGAGAAAAAAAGGGAAAACAAGCAAGCAAGCAAGACATGTAACGCGACTGCCAGGACTCTCTCAGAGAGCGGAAGAACTAGGGTAACAGAATTATGAGAAACCCTAGGAAGTTTTCAAGCTTGCAAGACAGCAAAATGCACAATTTCAAGGCAATTTTTAGGCGGTGTGTTGCAGTCACCAGGCACCGGGTCAGCTATTTCTGACTGGGTCTGTTCTGCACACAAGTAACGTTCTCACAGTACGCAAACACCCAAGCAGCAAAGATGATTAAAATTTCATGCCAAACTGTGAAAAGCATGTACAAATTGCTGCTTGTTTCTAAGAAGGGGAACTGCTAAATATATTGGCAAACCCAAGGGTTGTGGCAGCAACCTGCAGATTTTAGGCCAATGTTGTTTATCAGAGCCTTTATCAAGTGAAGAAAATGTGCTTTTTTTTTACCTGATCACTGGGAGTTTTTCAGATACAGGAACAAAGAGGTCAGTATCTATACCAATCTCTTAAGAACAAAGTGAAAAACAATGATAATAATGTTACACAGTCCCTAGACCACAGGTAGGAGAAACAGGAAAAACAAACCAGGTGTCTTAAGAGGTAACCCAAAAGTCTGAGCCTGAAAACATATACACCTGTGGGTAATTTGTTAACTTGAAAGTCATGCACATGGGCTATATCCCAACAGGTTTAACTGGGATCCTCTACGCATTGATAAAAGCCCAGTCTC